TAAAAATCAACTGATTTAATATTTATGTGAATTATGATTGAATAATAATATAAAATTATTTTATAATGTCAATGCATCATCATTAATTAAACATATAAGATATATTATAATAGGATTAAATTAATGAATTTTTAATATGTTAAAATCACTATATAATTTTGTTACTTTAAATACTAAGAGAAAGGCTAATACTTTAAAGAGAAAAAAATTAATGGTTTACTCTGCAACATCCAATGTATCATTACAAATAACTCCAAGAGAGAATTGACCCAGGAACTCAATTGCTTTTGTTTTCTTCCCAGAAACAGAAAATTGAAGAGGGCCCTCACAAATTGCAATACTTGATTACATTTTTAATACTTCAACAAAGTTGGTTCTTAAAAGTTGATAACACAATCAATACCGGTAAGATACTATGAAACGAAGACGAAACTTTAGACTTATATTGGTCCAATTGGCTTCAACTTGATCGTTCTTTCGCGTATTCCTTTTCGGTCAGAAATTTAAAGATTCACATTCAAAAGATGCGTGTGATTGTTGAAATACACATTCTTCACTTTGAATGGTGAACTAACTTGTAGTTTAATACTCGTATTCTCAATTTAATTATGCCATTCAAGACACCATAAAATAATAAATAAAAAAAATTGCCCACTTATAGTTTTAGGCATCTATGATCTAATTATATGTTATTTTTTCTCACATATCATAGTCCATATCATTTTTTAAATGAAAAAAAAAAAAGACTAGTCATTCTATTAACCCAACAAACCTATATATGCTTTCTAGTATTCTATGATTTATATGGCACCCACTAAAATGTTCTCTGGTCACTAGTCACCTTTTCTCTTATATAGACAGTCATATTATTCACCACTTGAAACCCAAATAAATATCGAAATTACGTTGAAAAAAGTAAGAAAAAAAAAAGACCCAGCAACATTGCTAGAAAATTCGTGTTAGGAAAAGAAAAATTATAAAGTGAGATAAATTTTTTTAATTATTTAATAGGTGAGAAAATGATAGAACATAACAATATTTTTTTTATGTTATTGGGTAGAAAGTGAAAGAAAAAATTATATATGAATAATTACATAAGTATTCTAAATAAAAACGAGATACAATATAAATAAGAGGAATTGTGTATTTTATTTGGGTAAAAGTTTTCTTTCTTTAAATTTCCTTTTAAATTGAGAAGAAACAATTTTTTTTCTTTATACTTTAACATCACCAAACAACAACAAAAATTTCAAAATATAAATTTTTTCCTTTTAGAATCATTTTTTCCAGCTAAAGCACATATACCTTAATAATTTGTTTGATTTATGAAAGAAAATAATAATAATAATAATAATAATAATAAAAAGGAAAGAAACTGAGAAAAGAGGAATTAAAATAATTGTTTAATTATTTAGTAAGAATGACAAAAAAAAATAATTAAAAAGAAAGAAAGGAATATATGTAAAAATTATAAATGATCGTACTAAAAATGAGATATAATATTATTTTATTATAATTATAAAAGATATGATTGTAATTTTGATTTTGTTCTCTACCTTTTATAGTGTCTTTTTTTTCCAAATTGGAGACAACCAAGTTTGGTGTGTGGCTCACAAATGCTTTTCTTTTCTCTTTCGTTTTCATTTGTACTAATCGGGACAAATTATTTTGGAAAATATATTCGCCTCTTTCTTTTATTTTGTTTTCCCTCTCTTTTAAGTTGCATTTTTATCCTCTATATATAATATCATATGTTTACAAATTTGATACTTCTATTTTTTAAATTTATAATTTTAGTCTCTTAATTTTATAAAATCTATAATTTTAGTAATTTATTATTAAAATTATAATATTATGATTTGACATTAAGTAATATTTAAATATATTTATATCAAATTTTTATTTTTAATTCTCCTTTTTATCTCATACAAGCAATAAGATAATATAAAAATAAGAAATGAAATGTAATTTAGCTTAAATATTATTAAATATTAATTATTGTGTTGTTTACATAATGTTACATCACAACAAACATTACAATTTTGATAATCTACAGAAAAACATTTAGTTAAGGGATCAAAATTGTAAATTTTATAAAATTAAAGAACTAAAATTACAAATTACAAATTACAAATTTTAAAATTATAAATTTGAAATTATACAGAGATTAAAGTTATAATTTAACCATTTTCTTTAAAATAATAAGTCTAGATTATGATAAAAGACAACTCAATACAAAATTAAAATTAATTACTAATCTCTTTAAGGATTTTCAATGACTATCGATCTCTGACGTAAATTTATATCAAATTGAAATTTATAAAATATAAGAGAAGTTAAATTTAATCTCATTTTCTCCTTTCAAATAATAAACAAATTTACAAGACAAATAATATATATATATATGAGGAGGGTTCAAACGATACTGGTGTACCGAGGGGAACCCAGCGAGGGAGACCAACCAGATCTCGTATAAATTCAGCTTCTACATATCCAGGTACGGGGAAAAAGGGAATTATTTATATATAGAGTTACATGAGGGAATTGGGTAGAGGAAGAACCCCTTAGAATTATGAGCAATTTTAGAAATATTTCTGTTTGAAGAATTATTGGCATTATTTGATTCTGTATATATTTAGGACAATAAATATATATTTGAAATTTTGTCCCCGAAATTTACCTGAAAATAGAAATGGGTAAACTCCTCGCATCTTTCTTTCTAATTCGTAAGGCTTACTCTCCTCAGTTCCCTATTGGAAACTATACTAGCAGGAAAATCCATGTAACCTCACTACATGACAAATGCACAACTTTTTCATTCTGCCTAAGGAATATCCAATATCAATAAGGATAAGACAAGCAAACTTGGTGAGTCTATCCACTAAAACCCAAAAAGAATCAAATTTCTTAAGTGTCTTAGGTAAATCTATAACAAAGTCCATCAACACACCATCTCACTTACAAATTGGAACATCTAAAGACTACCAAATTCCTACAGACTTCTGGTGTTCTATCTTAAACTTCTGGCATACTACACACAATTACACAAATTCCTCTACTCCTCTCTTCACCTTAGCCCACCACGCTTTCGCTACGCCACTTTGATACATCTTAGTAACTCCTAAATGAATGTTAAGAGTACTCTTATATCCTTCCTCTCAGATCATCTTCCTTAATTCGGGATTACTAGGCACATAGATTCTATCCTTGAACCCCAAAACACCATCAACTTCTACTCGTAAAGGACTATTTATACCCCTACCAATCCTCTCCACTTGATTCACTAAGAAAGGATCTAACTCCTGGGATTCTCTAATCTCATCCATTAATCTATTAGTCCTTTTCAACATACTTAATCCAATGCTCTTAAGGGTGAGCTCACACATCACGCTTAAGTCTCTAACCTCCTTAATCAAATCCAACTCTTACATCATCAAAAATGATAGATGAATGATCATCCTACTCAAGGCATCTGTCACAATATTAGCTTTACTTCTATGACCCTCTCCAAAGATCAAACACCTAAGCATAAGTTCACTAGAAACACATACTCGGTCTCAAAATCTTACTACTCCATCTACACCTAAGGCAAACTCTTATTCATTACCTTGTCCTATAACCTCATATATTGTCACCAAAATGAATTAACTAATTATGCTTCTCCAATTTCTTTCAACGATCCACTTGTTACTCGAGTCATACCTATTTTCACATTACTAGGAGTAATCTCACAAGTCAAACTTAAATCCTTAATTTGAGCCCAAATATCCATCTCTCTAATCATAAGGGAAGATAAATATAAATGTTTCCTACTCAAAACATCGGTCACAACATTGGCTTCGCCCAAATAACAAATAAGATCAAAATCTTATTCCTTCAGAAATTCCAACTATCTCCTTTGTCTCATATTCAACTCCTTTGGTCAAAAGATATTTAAGGCTCTTATGATCACTAAATACCTCAAGCTTAGAATCATACTGGTAGTGTCTCCAAATCGTAGTATAAATATTACAACCGCTAACTTAGAGTCATGGGTAAGGTAATTCCTCTAATAAATTTTCAATTACCTAGAAGCATAAGCTACTACCCTTCCTTCTTGCATCAACACTCAATCCAAACCTCTCTTAGAAGCATCACTATATACCACATAAGACTTACTAAAATCCAGTAATATTAACACTAGTCAATCTTTCCTTAAGAGTTTGGAACCTACTCTCATATTTGTCATCCCACACAAAGGCAACTCCTTCCTAGTCAATCTAGTCAAAGGTAATGTTATCTTAGAAATTTCCTCAATAAATATCCAATAAGAATAAGCTAACCTAAAAAAAACTCTCATCCTCACTAATTGACTTTGGTATCTCCCACTTAAGCATAACTTCTACCTTAGATAGACCTACGATATACCTACGCTAGAAATTACAAGGCCTAAAAAACTCGTCTTATACAATCAAAAATCATACTTAGATAACTTAGCATAAAGCTATTTTGGATATATCCTCACCTTCAATTCCAATATGATGATATCACACTCTAAGGTCAATCTTTCTAAACACACAAACACCCACTAATTAATCCATACGGTCATCTATCCTCATATCAACATACACGCATATCAAATCATATTAGAATACCTACTTTAAACATTCATATATATCATCCCCAAGCATGTACGAATCAATCACCATTTACTCCATATAGCATGTAAATGAACCAACTCTACCACATAGCGTCATACAACCTTAAACAACCTTTCAATCCACATGACAACGCCTCATAACATCATAACCAAATCAGTTTCTATCCTTGCATTGCCTAATAACTCAAAAACATCAAGATCCAAATTTAATTTTGGGTGTGAGAATGGATAAGCAAGATTTGGCCCTTGTTATCATCATAAGAATTCTTTGTGGGTGTTAAAAATTTAGGTTTAAGGAGATAAGGTTAGACAGGTTGGAACAAGGCTTTAATTTCATCATAATCATTCATGGATGATCCTATATCTAGGCCCCTCTCTACCTCACAAGAAGCCAAACACAAGGATTCAATTCCAAGTACCATCCATACCAACACATCTCCCATTTTCCACTTCTCTCTCTTTCTCTAGTCTTTTTGCATAAACTCTTCACTCTTATCCTAAAACGCACAATCACCACCAAACTAAACCCTCCCCTCAACTATAAGTACCCACCACAATTATTTCACTTTCCAAACACACACTTCCCCTCTTTCTCTCCCAAACACAACCATCACCATCACATGACTCGCGCCCTCAGACTCCTCCAATCCGCCGCCGCGACACCGCCGGACTCCGCCGTCGCCGCCGAGTCCGACTTCGTCGTCATCCTCGCCGCCCTCCTCTGCGCCCTCGTCTGCGTCGTCGGCCTCATCGCCATCGCGCGCTGCGCCTGGCTCCGCCGGGGACCCGCTGCCCGCGCCGGCGCCGCTTCCACGGCGACGGCGCAGGCCAACAAGGGCCTCAAAAAGAAGGTAGTGAACTCGCTGCCGAAATTCACCTACGGCGGCGACGGCGCCGGCGATCGGTGCAAGTGGTCGGAGTGTGCGATTTGCCTGACGGAGTTCGCCGGCGGCGACGAGGTGCGCGTGCTGCCGCAGTGCGGGCACGCGTTCCACGTGGCGTGCGTGGACACGTGGCTGGCGTCGCACTCCTCGTGCCCGTCGTGCCGCGCGCCCTTCGCCGTCGCAAGATGCCAGAAGTGCGGCCACTTCCCGGCGGTTGCCGCTGCGGAACTGGAGTCGAAGG